TAAATTTTTGTTCCCCGAAGAAAAGAAATAACGACGAATATTTTTCGATACTCGGTGTGTAACGATTTTTCTTCAATTTTCCTTTCTCGAATTCTCTCGAAGGAGGATAGAAAGCGATTTATTTACGCGAGAAACGTCGATCGGTATTGTGTCGAACGTTGGCCATTCTCCTCCTCCATTGCTATTACGAACGTTACGAAATAATGGAACGATACCTTTTCTCGGATGATCCCGCCATCGTGAATCGATCGAGATGGAGCTTGTGACTTCTGATGACGAATGGCCGAACGAACGAACGAACGAAGGAACGATGGTCGATTGGGCTGATAAAGAGAAAGAGAGAGAGAGAAAGAGAGAGAGAGATCGTGGTGAAGAAGCCCGGGGACGAATTAACGTTTGACGAAGTAACGTTTCAACGATGTTCATCATTTTCCTCTTTTCGTTCACCTCTTTCTTTTTTTATTTTGCCTATTATTGTTGCGTAGAATTGGACGTAGAATTGATTAATCAGGAGAAAGGTAACGTTCTTATCGTCGAAGGAACAATTCTCTAAAAAAAGAAAAAAATTAGAATTAGAAGAAAGTATTAAACAAAAGTATAAACGACAGAAAGGGAGTATCGAAGATCGAAAAAAAAAAAAAAGAAACAAAGAAAGAAAGAAAAAACACGGCGATTAGATAAATTTAATTAAACTTCTCGAACGACAGATTCGAAAGACACTGGCTCGAGGTTTAATTATAATATCAGTGGGTTTGCCTCTCTGGGGGGGAAAAAGAAAAATAGATAGAAAAGATCACGAGAGGGTGAAAAAGGAAACGAACGATCGTTGGCCGTCTTCGAGTTGGTAATTGAAACAAATTGCAGGCGACGAGAGCAGCCGCTACTCTCGTTTCTACACCGACTTCCGGAAGGAAATTGTTACATGGTAATGAAAGTATTTGATGGGTTCGCGCGATAACCCATGCGCGACTCGCACGCAAACCTCGAAAAACTCGCTCTCCTCGTTTCCTCTCCCCTCTGCCTTTACGAATTTTCTTTGTCAACGATCGTAGATTAGCATCGATCTTGCGAGTTTTATAATTTTATTTCCTCGATGTATCAAACGTGTATAGGGTATATAATTGAGAAGGTGAGATTGAGAGAATCGAGAGAAATTTTATTTAACGATACGATTTGGAAAGATATTCTCGTATTAATTTTCAAATGTATTTATAAATCTATAAAAAAAAATTGTTGAAATGCTTTTTAAAAAACGGTATCGATTTATCGAATATAATATTTGACAATAATTGTCAAATATTAGAAATTTGTAATTCTAAATTTGGAAAAAGTGGAATTATTTTTAATCCACCACGATTTTAGAAATTATGAATAAATTTTCGTTCCAATAAACGAAGACGTGATAAAGTAACAAAAAAATTCATTCGATCACATTCAAATATCCCGCGTTAGAACGTTACCTTCCAACCAATTTCACGCTCGATGAGTATCAACCTGTCAAAATACTCGTTCACATTTTTTTTTTATATCACACTTCCGATTGTCCCCCTTGTAGTGTCCTACCTGATTCTATTTCGGGCATGAAGTGTCCCCGACGATGTGTCTTTTGCATAGTATATATATATATATATTATAATATATTCATAGACGCAACAATAAACGATAGATAGACAAAGAGAGATTAAGAGATATATAAAAAAAAGATAAAAAAAATAGACAAACAGAGAGAGAGAGAGAGAAAGAGAAAGAGAGAGAGAGAGAGAGAGAGAAAAAAAAAAGAAACGAACAGAATTACACACAGGCTCTATTAATCAGACAATGAATATAATAATCGTGTTGTTGGGGAGCAAAAGGTGGCGTTCGTATCGCGTTCCGGGTGTCGTCTCTACGGATGCAAGATGCTCATCTACATATTCGACTAAGTTCTAGGTGAAAATTCGTTGCATTCATAGGGAATATATTCCTGGTATACGTTAAGGTGTTATCATATAGATAATGTGAAGATGTGCAAGTACACGTGTGCGTGCCACACGTATACCTGCGTCTTGATGGTGTAACGATGCATGGTAGTATGAATTGTATAAATATATATGTATGTATGTATGTATATATATATATATATATATCTAGATTCAAGACGAGTATATACCAATAAGGGAATCGTTTTGTACAAGATATACAGATATATAATAAATATTCATACTATGGTATTTTGGAACGTTGCTTTTAATTTGATAAGATCGATACGATATCATTTTTACACCGGATGTATGAAAATATTTTGAGGATTTTCGTTGTAAGAAAAAAAAAAGAAAAATGAGAAACGATGGTTCTTTCCTTTTTTTTTTTTTTTTTTTTTTTTTT